TAAATTAATGTAAGCAATACTATATATATATATATATAGCATATATGTATATATGCTTCATTAAGTCTGACAGCATCAATAGCAAAAATATTGCAAAGTTCCATGGATATACATTTGTCCACTTTAAGATAGTAAATTTTAAATAAAAAAAATAAGAAATATAAAAATCATGGCAGCACTGAGAATAATGTAAATATAATTATTATTTTCACTATACAAATATTTTCAATTCATTATTCCTTTGTTCTAATGTTCTTCTTTATTTATTCATTTTTAATTATATGGAAAAAAATAAATATTTTTATTTCTTTTCTTTTTAATTTACGAATTATTTTAATTACAAAATGTGAACAAAAATTATATATTCAAAATTATATACAATTAATGTTCCATTTCTCCGATATTTAATTTAAAAATTTTATACTTTCGATTTGAAACTTTAAACAGATTAAATATAAGAATTATTTTGATATATTTGAAAAATATAAAATGTTCAAGAAATATATTGTCAAATAATGATATTATACTCTCACAGTTATGATAAAATTTCAAGTGTGTATCATCATGTATATTCTTTATTCCATTTATAAATAGCTTAATAGAAAATGCATGATATACTTATTATATCAATACATTGAAAATATGGTCAATAAAATATAATCGCAGTATAAAATGTACACTATGAATATAGTGCACTATGAATATAATAATTTAAAAGCATTTTCTATTAGGCTAAGCTTATTGTATATAGAATATGTATATGTAATTACTAGAACTATATTTACCAATTTATTATTGTGACGAATGTCCATAACATATATTTTTTTTATCTCTTTTTTTATATGTATATGTGTATATATCTTTTTATGAAAATCATAAATATTTTAATGTAATGAGCATTAGCATATTAATCTTGTATGTAAAGAATATATAAACCAGTATAAAAACAAAGTATATTTGAGACAATATTGTTATAAAAGCGATATAAAAGTATTATATAAATTGGACCTAATCATCTTTATAGGAATGTAAAATCTTCATTTACAAAATATACCGATTATCAATCATGTTTTTTTTATCATGTTTATGTATGAAATAATATACGTATAAGATACGAAATAAGATACGTTAAAATGTGACATATTTTTCCATTTTTTTACATACACCCACATACACATACATACATACATACATAATGTGTAATGTAATACATAATTAGTATAATTTTAATTAAATGTGTATTATAAATTTATTTATTAGTTCTATTTCCTTTTTGTTGAACTTTTGCACATTAAAACTATCAAAGATTTTATGTAATAAGTGATATATTGATGAAATTAGAATGATTTATAACTTGTAACACAACTGCAATGATATCTGAAGAAATATATATATACAGTATACATACATATATATGTACATATGTATATCATATATATATATATATATCTGCTACATACTCACATACATAGAGTGATCTAAAATACCGAATAACCTTGATAAGTATGTATATAATAAAAATTGCTTTTAAGTTTTGTCTTACTTAATTGTGATTATTTAATTTACTGTATATAAAAATTAATATCGGCATAATAATATACAATTATTACCAGAGATTAATCAAATTAAATTATTAAAATTATAAAATGAAATGTCATGAATAAATAAATATAAAATAGGTGAATCAGATTACAAGAACGTCTTCGCTATTATGCAAAATGCTATATCTCAGCGCAAATTTTCTACAAATTCGTTAACTTTAAATGATTTTTATTAAAACTTATTGTAATCTCAATATTTTTGTGTAAAGATTTTCATCTTGGAATGTTCTAGAAAAAACTTGTCCCAAATAATTCTAAAGCACTCTATGTATACGCGTGTGCATGTGCATATGCATGGTATGTGCATATGCGTGTGTGTGTGTGTGTGTGTGTGTTAAATTCTTTAATAAACTAACAGAGATAAAGTATATAATAACATAGAAATTTCTTAATTCACTATATTCTTTGGCTTAATCAACATCATTACATAACATCTTTGAACTTGATTTATGTGCACATGTGTAATAAAAGATAACATTTGTTGTCAAAAACAGTTTAATAAGCTTTAAATTATGTAGAATATTCTTTTTACATTTTTTAAAAAATATTTAATATAATGATTCAATTCAAACTGTACATTTTATAATTCTGCTTATAATTATAAAATAATAAAATCTGTAAATAAATATACATGTAGACAAAGTCTATCTAAAGTTTTATGCGAGCCAAATGCTTCCACATCTTTTTATCCATCTTCTCTTTATTTGCAAAATAAGATAAAAAGAATACAGAAAAGAATAGATTCTAAAATTTCATCCTATAGTGTGCATATATATATAAATTCTAGCATCTATTCTTTTCTGTTTTCATCTCAATTTATATGACAAGGACATAGAAACATTCGATTCGTGAAAGCTGAAATTTGCACAAGTCTAATGTATAGAAAAACATAATATTAAATTTATAACACTAAATTAGATATAATAGTTTATATAAATTATTTTTCTAATCTATGCAATATGGAAAGTCAGAAACGCGCAATTAATTTATATAATGGAAAGAATAATACTGATTATTTTATTTAAACATTTTTCTGTAATAATCAATAATCATCAAATTCCTAGAATAAGCAAATAAAACTTCTTATATCATGTGATGTAGTTATATTGAAATATTTAAAATAGTTGTTCTTATATTTCCTTGAATTAATTCTTTACTGCACAATATTTAACTTAAGAAGAACACAAAAATTCCATAATAGATATGTAAAAAATATGAAAGATTAAAAGATTTTTAATTAACATTATATTTTTTATATAAAGAAAGGAAACAGTTTTACAATTGATGTAGTTATTTTCAATTTATACAGTAATAAAAACTTAATATCAAAATTCACAGAATACACAAGATAAAGATTTAAATATTATTACATTGAATAGCATTGTTTCTTCAGAAGAAGAAATAGGCGAACAATTTTTCCCACAGCAATTTGAACACAAACTGGTTAGCTTCATTTGGTTTACATAGCTTGGTTTTAGTATTTGGTTTTTTTATTTAACCGTTTGAGTGACAAAAACAATTGCAAAGTTCTAACACAAGTGCTAAGCAAGCACAATAACAAGCTTATTGTCAATGTACTCAATTTATATCACTTTTTAAATTTAATTCGTATATATAATTGAATTGAATTATGAAAATTAAACTATCTCTAAATATTAAGAAATCATATCAAATAAGATGACAAGAGAAAAAAATAATAATACATGTTATACAATATAGAAGAATGTATGATCACGCTCGTTATTTTTCAATATAAAAATGGAAAAAATGCAGTTATGTTTTTCGGCATTCAAACGGTTAATGTGTATTCAGTAATAGAAATAATTAATCTTAAATAAAAAATAAGATATATTTGTAGATTTGTAAATCCTCGTTAATAATCAGAAACAAATTTATATCGATTGCTTGGTAATTGTGATATCATGGCATTGAAATATAGGACTTCTTTATTCAGTTTGACTCACTCTATGCATACGAGAAATAGGCAATTATTATTCTATATATTAAATCATGAATTATGTTAAATCTATGCAAACATAAAAATTGGAACTGAATTATTTGCAACTGATCTCCTTTCTTTTTATACAAATATATCAATCTATTATCATAAAAATTCTTGACAATATACAGAATACAAATAATTATGTACAATACTTTGTATAATAATCTCCTTGCAACTATTCAATACCTTTCAAAAGTACGATGAAAATATATTTTATAATACATCCGTACATACATATAACCGCAATGCACCTATAGTGTATATAAAGTCAAATTTTTAATATATTTTTATATTTAGGCAGTTTTCTCTCACTTTTATTATAAATGTAACTATACAGAAAGGTAAATGTTCAAAAGTTGTATATCTTCATGTATTTGTTTGCGTATGTGTTGTATGTGCATGTATAATATACATATATACACATACATATATAGTTTTATCAAAATGTATTTTGACCTAATATATATTACAATATTCTTCGAAAACTACAACTTGGATTAATAGTATTGAATGTATATGTTAAGTTTCTGACGCGTACCTTTGTTTTTTACTAGCTGCTTTATCTGGTTAATTATTCGGTTTCTATGTCATTATTGAAGCATGAGGGATTCTAAGTTCCGATGTAGAATAGTGTCCTTCACAGCATTAAAAACAACTTTAATATTTTCTGTGTCCACTGCAGTAGTGAAGTGGTGAAATAATGGTTTTCTTGGATCCCTCTTAACCGAGACAAACATATCGAGGATAAAACTTTGCACATCTTTCATGGAATGTGGATCACCCGTAAATTGTGGAAAATACAAACGGACGTTTGTATCCTGTGATCTCACTTTTTTATCGAGCAAATCCGTTTTGTTCAAAAACAAAATTATAGAGACACCACAAAATATCATGTTGTTCACAATTGTATCAAATATATTTCTAGATTCCTCTAATCTGTTGGTTCTCCTACAAGATTAATTATTATTATTATCATCATCATATAATTCACAATTTTAAAGGCAATCACATTTATTTTAAGGTTTTATAAGATAAAAAAGAAAAGACATACCTATCTTCCAACAAGACTTGGTCAAATTCCGATGATGATACGAGAAAAAGTATAGACGTTACGCAATCAAAGCATTGATACCATTTTTGCCTTTGAGATCTTTGACCGCCAACGTCAACAAAGAGGAATGGAATATTATTAATCGGTATTACAAATTCAGAAATTCCTTTTGTTGCCTTTCTACAATGTAAGATATCCTGATGTGTAGGTGTATAATCCTGAAAAATATTTTTTTATATATTCTGTAAATAATGATAACTACAATTAAAAACAATATAAAAGTTAAGCAAACTGCTATTTTTTTTTAATTTTTCTATAAAAATATGCTAAATGCTAATAAATATACTAAATTAAAATTATTATCATCAGATAAATTGTAAAAACATTACCACTTTTGCAATCCTATCAAGATTATCCAAGAAGTACTGGACAGAATCACTCTGAAAATATCAAATCACATACAAATATAATATATATATATATATATATATATATATATAAAAATTAAGAAAATAATAATAATAAAAATAATTAAATAATATGTGTATAGGAAAATAATAAGAAATAAATAAAGATTAAAACTATATACTTTAATATGAAAATACAATATTTATATACTCAATGCAAGCATATACATATATAGTATGTAAGCATGCATTATTATACAATGTTTCTCATTTTAAATGAATCAATCAAATATTTTGAAAATTAATTCAGTGAATAAAAATATTTCAGAAAGAAAGATTGTATATTCATCAATTTTGATAAAAGAAGAATAATAAGAAAAAACCTATTTTACTTAGGAAAAGTAAAATAGACATAATTTTGTATAATTTTAGGGTTGAAGTATATCATACATTCAATATGCTAATTGAAATTACATCTCAGATGACCAGAATAAAAAAATGGAATAAATCGAGAAAATGCATCTCAATCATTCGAGATAAGTTACAAATATCGATGGTACATAATATATTATATTTTGACATAAAAAAATATAGACTATCTTACGAAAAATGCTATATTTGATTGATTTTGTAAAATCTATATAAAGTATACGTGCGTATGCGTGCGCGCGTGTGCTATCTTACGATTTAGAATAAGATTTCATTGTTAGATAGTATTAAATTATAGGAATACTATATAATCTAATAATGTGTCCAAAATACAATTAAAAAAGGTCTTACTAATTGAAATTCTCTTCGTCTATCGAATGCTCTTCTAATCGATGCATCCTTCCATAAACTTTGTAACGCTGGCACATAATGTAGAAATAATCTAGTGTCCAGCACCATAGTGTTTTCAAATTTAAGTAATTGAAAACCAATATCATAATTCTTAGGATTCTCCCAAGGAATATTTAGTTTATCCCGTGCATCCACTAAAACCTTCATACCCTTTATTATATTCTGGTAGATCACATGTTGATATTCCTTAATTAGTTCAGGCTGAAAAGAAACACAATTTATATGTAATGATGCTGTAAATTTAATTCTCTAAATGTAGTCTTTTTATTAAGAATGTTTTTTTGTTTTTATAAATTTATGATTAAATTAATGATTAAAAACAAATTTATTTAATTTATTCAAAATGTAATTAATGATAAATTAATTATATTTATATGTAATCGAATATTATAAAAATGAAGAATATTTCTATCAAAATAAGTTTCAATTTTGTCATTCTTTTATAATTTTAATAAGATTTAACAAGATAAAGTCTAATGTGAAATTATGTGGGTGTACAAAGGTATGGTGATGTAGATGTAAAAGTGTGAGACAACATATGTATAGCGATATGAATGTGTAGTTGTGGAGATAACCATGTGAAAGAATGAATGTGTAAAAGTACGTGGGTGTATAGAGATATGAAGATATAGAGATGCAAATGTATAAATGTGATATTTCAGATATATACATGAAAATATGAAGAAATATCTTTGCGCGAATCAAAAAATCAAAAGTTGATCATTATTATTAAATGTATTTGATGACGAAGTACAGAAACGATGACAACGATGACCACAATCAAGACATTTCTTAATAAGAAATATGTTTCAACTTCACATTATTATAGTGTACCCATAGGAAAAATAGAAAAGATAAAGAAATTTTTGTTATTTTTCTCCTAAAAATTAAAAATCTTTGTGCAATTCAAATTTAAACTATTGATTAAACATATTATATTATATTATATTAGAAACTTGATTAGTCCAGTCGTTTCTAAGATTCGAATCTCAGATATTCGCAATTTGCATAGTTTGTGTAAAGATATTTTGCCAATCTCATATTGAGATACTAACACACTTCACATGATCCACATGTCTCTTGATTTTTCAATAATAATCGTAAATCTTATTCATTTTAACATATATAATTCATTTTACATACATAATGCATTTATATTATTTGTGTTTCTTTTATTACAATTTGATATATTAATATAAATTAATATAAATAATATAAATTAATTATAATATAAATTAATTTATTTGTACCTATAATGGTAACATCACTATTCATCACTTCACTATTCATCTTTTGATTACGTATTTCACATTATTTTATTATTAAATCAATTTACAGAGTATCAATTTTTACTCCATTCTACTTTATTATTTTATTTCAATGTATTTTTTTAATTTGCATTATTATGTTAATTTGATTTTATTAGTAGAGAATCCAAGAATTAAATCTACTTTGTAAATATAAATATATAAATAATTTATCAATATTAACTTTTAGCATCATCATAATTTACTAATTGTATCTATAGTGCTCTAAATCATTTCATTTACAAATTATTAATATCACTGATCATAATCAAATTTTTAGAAAATTTATATTTATAATAAGAAGACAATAAAAGATTTCTCAAAATTCATTTTTAGGTTTTAATTTAAATATTCCTTCTTCATATTTCAAACAAATGTATAGATTAAACTAAAAATTTAACTGTATATCAAATATGATTTTTTCTGAAAACTTTCTTTAGTTATATATGTTTATATATATTAATTAAAATTTTATAATTATAAATATAATTATAATTATAATTATAAAAGTATTAAAATAATATTAGATTTTAATGATATTAAACTTATTCAATAATGAAGTAGAATACAAGAATTTTATTTGATAATAATGTTTAAAATATAAAAATAATGTAAATTCAAGTAGTTTTAAAAACTTATAATTTAACAATATTTATTAATAATTTAAATAAAATCACTGAGAAATAAAACATAGAATATAGAAAAAAACATAAATACTAAATATAAAACATAGAATATAGAAAAAAACATAAATATTAAATATATTAAATCTATTTTAATTATAAAAATGTATTAAAAATTTAATAAGTCAAATTTTTATCATTTTAATTTACATTTAATACAATTGTATATCATTTATATATTTGTCTTTATCATGGATTGTGTTACTTCATATTAATTTTGTTAATATTAATGTTAGATGAAATTTCTAAAAATTCTTCACATCGTATGATGTATTTGCAATGACAACAATTTTATCATGTAGATAATGCATGAATTCTTCAAGTTCACAAACTGTGAGCAATTAAACAAACGTTTTATTTACAATTTATATAAATATAATATATAAGTTATAAAGATTATAAAATATCTTTTAATATAGCAATAGTCAAAAAATATAAATAAAAAATTTTTAATTAATCTTTAATAATTAATACATATTTCATATTTAAAATAACTGAAATTTTTCATATAAAAATAATTTGACATTTCTTTACTCTCAAATGACAATTCGATATGTAACCTAACCTAACTTAAAAGTTAGCCCTCATAATTCTATGGGCATATAACAATGAGCATAATAAAGATGTTGATATTAAAATTGCAGTTGTTTATATAAAATTGTAACTCAGTTTCTAATAATTATTCCATAAAATACGATTTTACGATTTGTTCATACAGTTGCTTAGAATTGCAGTATAAAAAATAGACCAAGTCATCAGAGTGTATTACACCGGACGATATCGATTGACAATGCCCAGAACAATACTCTAAAGCAAGTTCCTTGCCGGTTGAAAATTTTAATTTTGCGTTTCTGTCACGTACCGCACGTAGTTCTCCGACTCTTACCTCAAACTTGATCCCATGGATAATTCGCATCTGCTTGAGGAATGTCGACTTGCCACTCTCTCCGGCACCAAGCAACAGCAGCTTGACTTGCCGTCGAAACGTCTGCCGATCCTTTTCCAACATCCGATCGATTTCCTGGCTCTTATAACGCTGCTCAATTTCCTCCGGGCTGAATTTGAACGTAAGCAACACGACCACGTTAAGGAGCTCGCCATCTTGCTACTCTGCCTTTGCCTCTCTCACTCTTTTCTATTCTTCTCTTTTTCTCTTCTTCCGTCTACTTTCCTTCCTTCTTTTCTTTTCTTCTTTTTCTTTCTCTATTGTCTTATGTCCTCTTCCTCCTTCCTTCTTTGCTTGCTTGCTTGCTTGCTTCCTTCCTTCCTTTCTTCCCTTCCTCTTTTTCTTTCTTTCCTTCCTTCCTTATTTACTTGACTCTCTTCCTTTCTTTCTTTCTTTCGCCTTCCTTTTCTTTCGTCCACACTTCCTTTCTTCGTTATTTATTTATTCGCTTTATTCCTCTTCCCGGCGTTTTCTACGCGCTACCGCCTCGAATCGTATTAACGAAACACATCGCAAATTAATTAAACTCGATTAGCAATACAGAAATTCACGTGCGAGTCCTCCGGTCTTCCTCTTCCCCACCTGTCGCTCACCCACCCATCCTGCGAAAGCGCAAGTCGATCGAGAATCGCCGATTCAGAACCACATTTCTCGAACAGGCGTAACCGGCCGGAATGCGCGATATTACTACCACTACCTATGCCACTGTCACTACTATCACTGAGCGGACGTGGTGCACGCTCGATAATCGATGCGGGTTTTTCAATCGATCCTAGACAAATCATGCATATTCACATGTATATACTGTTACAATATCGTGTTACGCACACGATACTACGCGTGGTACAGGCATACGCACGATAGAGGAATTGCATGTAAAGAGAAAGATATCTCATATGGTGATCGCCACATCGCCGACGCTGCCGTTTACCACTGACGTTTGTCCACTGTCCTCGTCTTTAGTAAACTGCGAATTGAGCATGATTAAATAATCACGGTGATTATCGGGTGGCGCTCCGCAACGCCTCGTATTCACATTTTGTGTGTCACGATCGTCTATAACATACGTCTTGCTCACTGCACCGCCTTAATTTTCTTTCTCTTCCTCCTTTCCCTCCTTTTCTCTCTCTCTCTCTCTCTCTCTCTCTCCTTCTTTCTATCTTTCTTCTCACTCTTAAAAAACGACGAGTCAATCATTCATTCCTGAGCGTGCGGCGACACAGCTTTTTTACTCGCCATACATTAAATTTCACGATTCGCAATGATGCGTAACGGCTATCATATTGATATGATCGTCGCGATCGAGCCATTTTATGGTGATACATGGCAATAACAATAGTTACACGTGAATGATAGGACAGGATGCCACTGATCCCACATATACCACTTCAATTACTTTTAGGATGCATTCACATTGAAACAAAAAAAAATAGCGACTATTAGAGCCAATTAGTAGAGAAACAGAATATTTAATAGCAAAATATCACAACTGCCAATACAACCTCTAGATGTCTCTTCTTCTTTTTATTTTTATTCCCGTTCTATTACGGAGATCGCAGGAACGATACGGCCATGTATCCGATCAAATCTAATCTGAGCACACACTACCTTCAGATAAGAAATAAGACGCATACACGATGTAATCTCTGATTGTGTGTCATGTTGTTTGTCGACTTTCCTCTCATACTCTAATTTCACATAAGTTTATAATTTTCTGGGTGGTTGATTAGTTGCATGAATGTAAAGTCTTGTGTCGCGATACTAGAAATCGATCTAAGATCAAGGAAAAATTAACCAATTGTGTTGATCAATTAATCGAAATAGCAGTTGCGATTGGTCAATTTTTTTTCGAGATCTTGGCTCGATTTTTAGTATGGATTTAAAAACCGACTATATTTTGTCCATATTTTGAACTCTTTTTTTGAACCCTTTTTTCGATATAAGTGCTTTTAATTCCCATTTCCTAGTGTAAATTAACTTTAACTTAATTTAAATTAATTTTCTATTTTTATATAATTCTATAAATTAGAAGGAAATAAAAGATAAATTAAACCGAGATCAAAGTTAAAATCTATGTTGATGGAAATGGCGGTTAATGGTTTTGTCCAGGATTGACGGTCTTTAATAGTATTTCGTCAGTGTTTTAAGGCATTGGAAGTTGGTGAACTAGTTTTAAAAAGTTGGCAATCCTGGTTGGAATGATTGCAAACGAGTCGTGAAAATTATAACGAAATTCGTGCATGAATTAGTCTACGATCGAATCATGGCGTATGTTAATGTAGCCGATTGGGAGACAGGTCAGGTGTGCGAGTGGTTAAAAGGTACAGAGAAAATATTTTATCAGTGCTAACGAATGTCTGCAGTAAAACATAGAAAAAATGGAGTAACTGGCTGAATCTCGAAGACATGTCGGAATTCCGTTCAATTTTGCGCATAAAACCTCACTCTTTTCCCCTCCTACCTTCACGTACATCCGCCCTTGTTCCTACTGTGTCAAGTTATAATGCATTCGATTCACTGACTCAACTCAACTCGGAGTTAATGATATGTATAAAAACTATTATTTATTCATTTGTTTAACCATTTAATCCCATTGCATTATAATGTTCTTAACGTGATAATAAAATTTGATGTCAATTTATTCAATATTACTACTAACAATATTATTTAAACGAAAATGATTAATTTGTTTTTATTTGGTAATTCAGGATTTATATAAATTGATTTTACATTAGCATTTTGACAGTTAACTCCGTCTGATAATTATTTTATTTAATATAATATTGTTTAATATAGTATATAGTAATGTTGTATATATATATATATATATATATATATATATATATTAGTTGTTTTTATATTTTAATTTAAATTTAAATACAATAGTGTTACAGATAGAAATCTACTATTAGAAATGTAAATATATATATAAATATATAAAATGAAAGTGACAATCTGTAAATTGCAAGTAGCAATAAATAATTTTGTTAATTGTTATCAGTTAAATTTTTTATGTTTCAGGGTTAGATAACACTGTATTTCCTTATGTTCATAGTTTTTTAAATCATGCTATTAATGGACAACAATTATTGAGCTTACAACCAAATGATTTAGAACAATTAGGTGTTCTAAAACTTGGTCATCAAGAAATTATTCTTGAAGCTGTAGAATATCTAAGAAGTTTACATTATGAGTTGGATACTGAAAATCTACAGCTGCTAGCATTACGAATTTCAAGTCAAGCACATAGCTTGTATAAACAGTTATGTCGTCAAACTGATTCGAAACCTGTTACTACTCAAACATTATCAGATGTAGCATCACTTATGATGGCGGTAAAACCTTTAGTAAGGTGGATGGATCGTCCTCCATTTAATGGAGAAATAGGCTATCATGAAAAGAAGGCTGAATTAATGAAAATATCTTTAGAAATGGCTACATGTGCTCAAAGAGACAGATTTGCTGAAAAGCCAATTGAAGAAATTAGAACAACTTGTAATCAATTAGCACAATTGGCAGATTATATTATTCAAGATATCACTGATCCTATGATATTACAGCCTGCGAGTTTAGATTTAGCAACATTGAAAAAGAAATCTAACGATGATTTGGTAAATATTTAACTGTTGTGTAGCATTATTGATAATATCTGAATTATATAATGACAAGTTTTTGAAACAAAAATATTTGTATATGTATTGATTTAATTTTGTTATACAAAATGTATAACTCTAGAATGAGATATAACTAAAATTTATGAAAATGAAAAATCATAAGATTTATAGTCACTAAATTAGAATTACAAAATAAACTGAACTGAATTGTTAATATAAAAATATAAATTATTAAAATGTTTTGTTTATGAGTTTTACTAACAAATTATATTAATATAATTTTTATAAGTATATTATATATAAAATATTATTCTCTATACTCGACTATCATATACTCATTTAATAATAAAAATATTAATCTGTAGGGTTTTTGTATTTTACCATCGTTTTATGGAGTACATCAGATAACTGAAATTAAACTTGGATCCGCAGCGCATCTCTCTGGCAAAATGGAGGAAGGAGATGAAATAATTCAAGTAATATGTCTTATTTATATTTTGTTTGTATATTAAAAATTTTGACAAATTTAATTTTCAAATAAATCTATTAGGTAAACTATCAAACAGTAGTTGGTTGGGAGAGAAAGAATTTGCTTGAGTTATTTCGTGAAAGCCCAGCAGAAATACTTTTGACTGTAAAACGTAGACCAAGGCATACTAATATTTATGGGCAAATTTATATAAAACCATTTAGACTTCCAAGTAACAAAAGTACCTCTTCCACAATACGGCATAATCTTCCACCTCCTAGACCAGAATTATTAACAACACCTGACTATTCATTATCTGGGTAAGCTATTTTTTACATGTATATTGTGGCCTTTCTATTAGTATTTTTTTTATTTAAAAATTAATACATATAAGCACGCGCATAAATTTATATATGTATACATACTTACAGTGCCTTTTAGTTTAACAAACATCTTACTGCATTTATAATTATATTTTGAATTTAACTACGAAAATTTTTATTTTTTTATTTAACACAATAAATATTTTGTTATATAGAATACCAAAGAAACCCAGCCCAGAGTCAACAAGTATTTTAGATGCAATTAAAATGTTGGATACAATGACTATAGATAGTAGCGATTCTGACTGTGAAGCAGAATCGCAATTTTATCCTACAAAACCAAGAAACTTAGTCCAAAGACGAGCTACGATAACAGGTGCCAGTCCCACAACCAAACATGATATCAATATTGAACAGTTTTGGAAGGAATTGAAACAAGAGCATAGAGCGACTCTTCAGTTGCGTGACAAAGCAGCATCTTGTGCCCATGGTTTGGATGATGTACCAACGGTAAATATACGGCCCCAAACATGTTTAGGATTAGAAACAGCGATAAAGAGGAAAAAGACTGACGAGCAAACGAATAAAAAAGTACAGTTTAATGAAAAATTAACTGATACTAAAACCATTCGTGCAGATGATACAAAAGAAAAAGTTATTTTTATACAAAACTGTGATGATGACAATGCAAACATTATAAGTAAAAATATTAATATAGAACATTTGGACACCTCTATGGATAATGTCATTGATAGCAATAATTTAAGTGATACAATTGTGCCTTTACATGAATATAATTCTATGAACGATACATGTAATATTAATGAAAACATATCGAAAAATAAAGAAATCAATATGCGATACGTTGAAAAACATGATAAATTAAATGAAAATTGTAGTGTTTCTGCATATAATTTGTCAGATACAGAAGAAGTAAATTTGATTGATTATAGCTTAAACAATGTACCAAATAATAATTTAACAAAAACTGATGTTTGTACAATTATCGAGAATATTAATGATTTTAAAAAGTTAAAAAATGCAAATGGTAAACATAAAAAAATATCTGTTGAAAAATGCGACGGTAATGTTGCTCAAAAAATCAGTAATATCGAAAAGCAGATTGCACATGAAAAAACAGAAGAGCAAACATCTATCATAGGACAGTATAAAAAACAGATTTGCATAAAGATAATAGAGGTATCATAAATGGTGAAAGTATTAAAAATAGTACAGAGGAAAAAAATCAAAATGATCATGAAAATGATATATCAGTTATAAATGATATAAAACATGCTGTTGAAAAATTAATTACTCAATGTGAAAATGTTATAAGCAATTATCCAGGAACTCTCTGTTTGAATAATTCGATATGTGAATATCCTGAGAATACTGATTGCAATAATTCAGAAATCTCAAACAGTAAATGGAAATGTAGTAACAATAACAGTAGCAATAGTAGTAATAGCAATAATAGTGGTGGTGGTAGGAATGGGGATGATAGTAATGGTAGTAGTAGTAGTGGTGGTAGTAGTAGTAATAGCACTAATAGTAGTAATTATAGTGGTAGTAGTAGCACCCGTAATAATAGTAGTAATAATAATAGCAATAACAATAGTAATAGCAGTAGCAATAATAAAAATAATAGTGATTATGCTGACAGTAGTAGCAATAATAATATTAGCAACAGTAATAACATTGAAAAAGACGAGGTACAAAAATTTGATAAAATTTTGCCAATCGTTGATTGTACTTTGACTCAGCATGCGCCATTACTCGAAAAGACGTCTTCCTCGGTATTGTCAAGGGAGAATTTTTCTGAAATGAAGACGTCACCTAATAATAATACTAAATCTATTAAAGATAATCTCCCAAATATTATCCATAATGTTTCAAATATTCAAATAGATACAAAGCAGCAAACTGAAGAGATAAAATCTGCAGACTTGCCTTCGGCACAAGCTATAACACAGCCCTGCCGTTATATAGAATTACCAAAGATCGAGTCTATTAAAAAATTCGAAAATAAATCTCATATAACACTTCCAGAACCGCCACCTCGTAAATATTATACGAAACAAGCAATAACTGACTTGAAATTAAATAATGTTTCACAAAGTTTAGAAGATTTGGAAAAACCTCAAGTTCCAGAGAGACTTGGCATAAAACAAGAATGTAAAAAAGTAGATTTAAGTTCAAATATTAATCACATTAAAAGCAATTTGGATTGTCAAAATAGAAAGGATTCTTCAGATGTGCCTATGGTTAATTACACAGAAAATTCAATGGATTTTATTGGTGAATTACAAACTATAAGTTTAAACGATCAAAAATTTGATCGTTTAAACTTATCTAATGCTTCATTATATAATGAAAATAATGACAAGCAATCACGAGAAGAAAAGTGTTCTTTTGAAAAGTATGAAAAATTTGTTGAAAAATTCGTTTGCTCGGATCAATCCATAACAGACTGTTATAGGTTTGATCATTCTCCTCACAATATCGAAAGTCCTGACGGTATAACATACTCAAAACAAATAATATCGTCAGATTTAAAGCCAAGATTATCAGAGAAGGATAAAAGTTTTGAGAAAAGTGTTGTTAATAGAGCTATGATGGTAGCTAGAAGTATTGGCTTACATGGTAGTTTAAATAAATCTAATAGCAGTCCAAGAAGCAATAGAAGACGAAATATGTTATTGGCAAGTAAGTACAATTGAATGATAATTTTCCTCTTATTATAGTATTTAAATATTTAAAATATTTGTTTTAATAACAGTATTAGGTTCTGATAATTTCTTGAGATGTTCACACACACACACACACACACACACAT